AATTACAGCCAGGTGGGTCACGAACAAGAGCTTTTCATCCCACGGAAAAAAGAGGTCACATCGCATTGCGCAGAAAGGGCGTGTCCACGGAAAGGGCGTGTCCATGGCCTATGGACGAAAACATGCACATGAACAGCTCAACAGAGACAAACTAACTGAATAAGACGAGAACGTGGTTGAACTCATTGCGCATCTGTTCGTGCAGCAGTACAACCTGAACGGTAAAAGATCATACAGTGTAAAGTTCGCAGCGGTTGTTGCTGATTTACAAAGCATGCTAAATTCTGCTGCGATTGGTGCATTTCCACCGACCACCAATCGCAGAGACTCTTCCTGTGCACTTCAACTGATATTCGTGATAGTTGCTCCGTTTTGTAGGTCACATTAGCGAGAAAGAATCGATAACCCCACCTTTTTGAGATAGACTGGCTTTCTGAAGCGGTACGGTAGCATGGAAAAATGATCGCCAGTCCGAATTTCTGGCGGTATATTAGTGGTCGTCGCCGAATGTTCATTGAGGACAACCTCAATCACAAAAAATCGTAAAGATGCGTTAGTGGGTGCACGGCATAACTTCCGAGTAGCAGCACGCGCAAAAAAAGGTCTTGCGAGGGTGATGCGAGCTTATTAGTACTGGGAGCCAATCCATTCAACGTGGCAGACAATGAGTGTCAACACTTTCTGTGTCTGTTTCTCTCACGTCAACTAGCCAAGAGAGCGAGCGATTTGCTGACTCGGAAGTAAGGCTATGCCCCTTTTGTTGACTCACTGAGAACAATATGCAAGCGTTAATGACCTACATAATCGATTCCTCGTAAGGGAGCATGTGGAATTATCGACGGGGAGATAGATGTCACGTAGAATAATGGCATAGAGAGATTTGCTGACATTTTATTGATACCCACTTTCGTTTCGTAGAACACTCAAAACGTTATCAATGAGATTATGATAGCACAAACATTAGGGAAATGGCCCATCGCGAACTGCACAAACTGGTTGCTCACCGTACTCGACGAAAGTGCGGCCCTATCAGTTGACACGACATGAAAATGCCGCGCGCGACAAACCAGGGAAGTCCGCCAACTTACCATGGAACTTTGAATGGAGACCTGGGTAGATCGATAGAGTCTATAAGGTTATTTACAAATATAGATAGCAAAACTGCAACCTGCATTTCACAAGCAACTTATGAGCAGGTAAAGTTTGTAATGGTGCAGTAGGGTGGAGGCTTGGTGGTGAGCTGTGAAGCATAAGCGAGGAATCAAATCGAGTCGTCGAACGTCGAACCTTACCACTGAACCACCACGACTTGTTTCGACGTATGTGATTCCTCGCTTATGTTTCACAGCTCACCACCAAGCCTCCACCCTACTGCACCATTACAAACTTTACCTGCTCATAAGTTGCTTGTGAAATGCAGGTTGCAGTTTTGCTATCTATATTTGTAAATAACCTTATAATCTCTGAGGCAGAGGCGGTGTAGTGACAGTGCACGCATACCCCGCGCCGCTGCCGGGCTCAAATCCCGTGCGACCCTCCCGCCTAGCAACCATCAAGCTTCTACCCCCGGTAAGTTGGTAGCCAGATTCGCTGGAGGATAATAACACTGACTGTACATCGGCTGGCCACCGCAAGTCATTGTATAGGCCACATCGCATTCAGTAAGCCACTACGATTCTGAATGGAAGTAGAATGCGTGCCGCATCCCACAAAGGGATTGATTAACGGCGAAGACTTTATCCTTTAACGCTTACCTATAGACTATATCGACCTGCCCAGGACTCCCAATTCCACATATTCCATGAGTACAGTTTGGCGGACTTCCTTGGTAAGTGAGCAGCTTTTCTGCATTCACGAACTGCGCCGCCTTTCGTCGCGACTGGCCAGTTTGTGCACGTGAGCAATTCAGATGATTGACCTAAATTAAAAATTTTTTAGTTCCTACTTCTTACCGTTTTCGAATGAATCCAGTGTTGACGTCTTGCACATAAGTGCATATTGTAAGTAACCAACATTTGATGATTAACTGCCTGAAATTGAACACGCTACCGAACACTGCTAACTCCGAACGTTACTCTTCATTTGTCGTCCATGGAGGCTGGGGGAGGCATCCATGACGGTTCAGTTGGGAGCGTGGCGGAGGGCAGGTGCCTGTTCTGGCAGAGACGTAGGCAGCGTGCGCAAGTTGCACAAGATGTCCGAACTGGTCACTTTTGCAACGGTGTTCGTAGACACTCCTTCTCCGACCTGGGATATGGACATACTAAAGAAGCAAAGCCATTAGGCACACATTCCGCGATAGGAGGTCGTGACCATATGTTATACCTTATGAGTACGCTCCTCGTCCTCACCCTATTATGTCCAATGGGGGAAGGTGTTGCAGTGGTAATTTAGCCTTCGCCGTTCCCGCCCACCCTTTGCTGGAGAATGTGCCTTTAATGCTAACTTGCAGCTTTTCATCCCAATTTTCATGCTTTACCTGCTCACATGTGTATTCCTCTGGACAAGCGCTTGCTCTTCGGTCGGATTCACACAACAGCCATGAGGAATATCGTAAGACGAAACCGTATGGACAAACTGAATCGGAGAATACAATGAAATGCAAGCGTCTGCCTTATCAAGCACTCGAGCGTGCGGTTTCCAAGCGTGTAGCACGTGCTAGACATGACAGCAGCAGCGACTGCACGCAGTTTCAAAAACGACAATTCACCTACTTGGTTTCACCTGCTCGGGGATTCCAGGTGGATTACTTAAGTCTTGAGGGACATCTGAGCAACAGCGATAGTCGTTGGTCTGCTTTGAAAAAATGCATACTGGATTTCGACCGGTGCATTCAATGGGATCATGTGGAGTGCATCTAACTCCTGTAAGTAATAAGCAATTGATTTAGAAGTTAAAAATCTGTTCAGATAGGCAAACAACAACTTCATCCATAGACACAATTTGCGGTAAATATGTGCCTAGTGATTACTAAAATAACCTAGGACACGAGAACATACATCCATTGAATTATCATAGCGATCTAAAGCTTCGCCTCCGCACAGAGACCCCGCCCAACACAGCAACCCTGCCTCCAGATATTGGAACGAGAACCGCTCCGAATAAATGCATGCGATTTTCAAGGCAGCACTAAAGTTAACCGCGTGACTGGATAAAGTTTGAAGGGAAATATGAGGCCTTTTTCGAAGAAAGTTCGGGTCAAGAAACCAGATTTGTTTGAAATAGTGAGTCTAATTTAGTTTGAATTCAGCCGCTAATTTAGTTGAGCTTTAACGTGCCAACAAATAAACACCGTGCCAACAAATAAATGGAAAATTACCGTGGTCCTGGAATTCTGAACATTGTGAGTACGACGCGAGTATATTCTGCTCATGAGTTTGCCAAGGATGTTCACAGACTGAAATGCTTGTTGAAGAGGTAGGTACTAGTTTCATTAGGTAGGTGAGGAAGTTCTCGAAACGGGAAGCCTTCAACATCAAATCAAAAAATAAAAGTAAGTAGTGAAGAAATTTTTCGCGAGTAAAAACTTTTGACGGGGCAGAGGTGGCGACACAGGGGCAAACTGCCCAATCCTCGGGCTCCAAGTCCGCTGTTTCCGCCCAGAACAACCGAATATTCTATCTCTGTGAGACCGGTAAATTGGTACCATATTCGGCTGGGAGGGTAAAAGCGCTTAAATCATATATCGGTTGGTCCCCGCAAGTCATAGCGAAGGCCACGTCGCATTCAATGACCCACTTGCAGTACTAAAAGGAACCAAATGCGAGGCGCATTCCTGATCAAATTTTTATTTTCCTTCAAAAAAAAAACTATTAACATCTGTAAACTACTGCAAACAAGCTAAGCAAGGTGAGATCCATTGAAAAAGCAACCTGAAGTTCTCGACTAGAAAAAGTAATGAAAGGCCTCGCCGCTCTGAAATGAGTAGACAAATGTTCCTGGTGTCAGACACCCGGATCGCGAGCATAGTAAGCGGGTAGCTTGACCATACACCACCTCCGCCTCAATATATTGGATTGCTATTCTCAATAAAACGGCACTGTTCGGCTTGGGAGGGCAATCTGCAAGTTCGATAGTCCACTTCGTCCTAGATGAAAGTTCGTAACTACACACATAACAATGACGTCACATTACTAGCTAGCGAGAGGCTAGGTGAAAGTAAGCAGCGGGTAAACTGTAAAAAGGCTACGTGTGATTGGCAGGCGGCACTTTCGTGTCACCTGTATGCTCTCATGAAGCTGCAAGATGGTGCTAGCGAATCATTTTGGTCACAGGAATTACAAGTATGTACAGGGGGCCTGCACACAGTGTG